TGACAATAACGTGACGTGTTGACACCCCCCAAGTAGTCTGGCTGACTACGTCTCGGCCAGCGATAGTGAACTACGTCCTTCCCTTGGGTGCTCTTACATGTCATTGCCATGAAGTCTAATTCTTTAGGCACACAGATAAATTTTAATCCTGTTTCTTCTGATGATAGCAAGAGAAAAATTCTTTAGGTGTAGAAGAATTCTGGAATATGGTTTATAAAAAACGACATGAAAATGAAATCATTATTTCAGAGGTTGGTAAAACATCTGTAAAACTTTTTTCGTACTTTAATCAAAGAACTGACTCTTATTGCATTAAATAGTTGAATTATACAAAACGTGCATTAAAAGATGCAAACAATGAAATGCACCAAGTACATACTATAATGGCTGATAAAATGCCAACACATCTAAAACGCAGGCTAGGAGATCAAGCTGAGGGCTGTGAAAATCAAGATTCAGGAGAGGTAAAATAGAAATTGTGAACATTGATGGAATTAATTATTGTCAATTAACTGCAATTTAATTTTTAGTGTGATATTCAAGAAGTATTTGAGTTGCATAATAATAAAGCTGGACAGGGATCAGGACCTGAGTTTCAAGAAAAGCAAGTACCAAAAAAATCCAAAAGACATAAAGCTAATGAGAAGAATGAGATACCATCAACTTTACAGAAACTTGTGATTTTTAAAAATATCATGACGAGATGTATGGAATATAGTGGTGATAGTATCACAATATTTACAGGTCAGTAATCTCATGATGATATCGCTGCAATATAGTAACTTTTTTTGATAATCTCGTGATGATATCATCAACGTTTTTTTGCTAAGCATGCACAATTTATAGAATTTCGTGCATCTCCGCTAATCTCATTGGTATCTCGTGAGCATATTGTCATCATTAGCATACACGTGACGATCTCGTTACATGACATACACTAGAATTTTTTTGAAAGATCCTGACGATATTACTGGCAAATATTATACAGATCTTACGACGATATCACCGCCTTATTATGGTGCAGCCCAAACAGTCCGAAATTTTATCACCCATCAATTACATGACATTTACCCAATAAAATTCTCTGAAATCATAATGCCGAATCAGGAACTGTTGAACTCGGAAATTAATGTTGCAGCACAAATAATGCATTTAAAAAATTGATCAAACTAATATTTGTTCGTAATTCCTCCCATGCATTTTCGACCAAAAATTATCCTTTGAAAGCCTATCTTGTCCTGTCACCGGATCAACATCGCTTCCCAATCACTTCATCGTTTTCCCAAAGTTTTTCGCTTGATAAATCATCGCTCAATCCCGTCTCCATTGATTTAAATGTGTTTGATTATGTATCAATCAGGTTGAGTTCGTCTTTAATAAATCTGCCTTTCTTATCACGAGACACTTGTTTATGCGCGGCTTTTCTTTAGTTGGTCGAGGCATAGTAAAACATAAAGAATGTTACCAATAATAATAAATGCTAAACTTATCGTTTTATTAAATAATGTAATGCTATACGAAAAATTGCACCGTCCAAAATTTTAAGAAAACTGTTGCTTAAAACTCGATTTCGAAGAGATAAGCATACTTTTTACTAATAATTTTTGTTCTAAAGATTATTGGGCTAAAAGGTAAAAATTTTAAGTTTTTTCACATCAAAAATAAACTAAAATAATTCTCCAGTCAACGCACTCAAAAAATAGCCATTGCTTTAGGAATAGGCATATTCTTGTTATTAGCTATGATACCGTTCAAGAAGTGTTGTGCAGCTCGCTGAAAACCGCCCGATTCGAAAGCTTTGTGGCACGCCAACGCACCTAACCTAAAGTAATAGTAATTACATCGTAAAGTATTCTTAGGTGTGTAAATGCAATTCTTTCAACTTACCACTTCACTTCTCCAGCCGTTATTATTATGTTTCTATTTCTTATTCTTGAGTTATTCCGTTGGTAGACGGTGTACAAGTGTACAAGTTCTTTCTCAATCGCAGCTAAGTAATAGTACTTGAGGAATCAGCATAATTAAGAAATATAATTTACCAGCGTAATTTATTTGATGGACACATACCAGATAGATAGTCTTCACCAATGTGATATTGTCGTTTTCTTAAGTGATTTACGGACACAACAAGCGCTGAAGCAGCGTCTGCGACATATTGTACATGTTTAATAGAATCGTTGTTGCTGTCCGTTGTACAAATTTATGCAGGAGGAGCATTCTGTGTCTTACAAAATTATGCAGCTGGGTGGTGGAGGAGACGACGGCGGAGAATGATTATGGCGAGCACCAGGAAGTCTGAAATAATCTGTAGATACAACTAAGCTAAGAATTAGATTTCCAAATTTCAGAAACATTCTTCACTTACAAGTATAGTTTGAATAATCTAGTACAAATTTGCCTCCATGGACAGTATCCACAGTACTTCCTGGTGCCAGTCTATGTCTGTTAATACGAAAGTAACGCCACCTCTGTTAGCGAGAAGATAATGACCAGATCCAGTGATCTATTAAATGGCAGAAAAGTAAATTAGTGAAGAATAATAATAGATACGCAAATTCAACTTATAATAATAAAATAAAGTGACAGATACTTTATGAATTGTGAGGCAAATTACATGGCCTCTGAGTTGCTATTATACACAATCGATATAGAAGGTTAATACTATTACTATGTAATATTGTGTTATTGTTAGACAACCTACCCAGTTAACTCCCGCGTACTCGTTACTTCCTGCAAGACATGGAAGAGTAATTCTCTCCTCAAGGAGGCGACGCACTAATCTCTCTGTCGACTTTTCCTATAGTAATAGATGTGAAGACATTAATTTGTAAAAATCTGTTAACAACCACAACACATTTCACATATGAGTACATTATACATACATTACGTCTCTCGCGATGGATAGAAAGGAGGCTTGATTGTCGATTACCAAGATATGAGCCAAACTGGCGCAGCGCTTGCACTATTGCTTTGCCTTTACGCTCTGGTCGTGACATATACGTTTTCAGGGCTTCTTCATATCTGTCCATTCTTTTTAATATTAAAAACAAGCGACTTGATAACTATTACTCGTGTTCCCCACCCTAATACAATATGACTAGTCATCAGATTCGAGCAACGCTTTATCCACAAAATGTAAATACGCAATACTCCGCAATGAATGCAGATGAAGTCTGAACTTGAGGGCACTGAACACATGCGCACTGTGATATAAGTGCTGGCTCAAGAGGACTGACGCGTTTTGCGGGAAAGTGCACACACAATGCGAATCTATCTCAGATGCTCAAAGCGTTTTCGTTTGTCATCACATAAATATCTGTTTATGTACTGTAAGCACACAATAATAATTTAAATGTAACGTTACTCATTTAGAAGAAAACTAAATGGAGATTTGTGAAACAGATAAGCATCGATAGAGGCAAATCGAATCTCAGCGAATAAGAATTATTTTTCGTCATGTGACATGTCAGATAAATGATATGAAAGAAAAACTTTTCTTCTATACACAGTGAAAGTCGATATAACGGATTCCTCGGTGCAGACATAAAATCCGTTATATCGTAACAATCCGTTTTAT